CGAGTAGGTCGAAGGAGCGTGAGGCGCCTGAAGCCTGCAGGAGTATTACTCTATACGCTCACCTGACCATATGCAGCGTCTGTCACGGCAAACGTCTGCCATGTCACCACGCAAAAACAAGCATCCCAGACCGACTTACGCCAAGCGTTTCCTGCTGCAACTCCTGTCGGATCGACCTCGATCATCTGGACGCATAACGCAAGCGCCCTGACTGTGCCCTGAGCGGATCAGCGATATCACACGGATGCTTCTGCCTAGTCAGGCCAGTCTCGCCTTCTTGCCTGCGCCTGGAGTGATTTGATACTTGCCGGGTCGTACTCGCGTGGGCGGCAGATAGCTACGCAACCGCGTGTTCTCTTCATCTGTCATACTGATGGTTGCCAAGCATGCCCTATGAGCATTCAATGCACAGCTGACGATGTGTGTTCATTGGGGGACCCAAATGCGCTCGACCGATCTCCCTTGCCTGCCTTGAAATCGAGGAACGAGCCCTTGAATAGGCCACTCCATGGAAGGTATAATGTGTAATAGAAGGCAAGGTATACGTGTTTATGTGTTTGAATGATGATGTCTCCTGGCAGCATTGGCGGCGCTTGGTTCCATGAGTCGTCTCTCGACAAGAAGCTGTCTTTGGTCTCCTTGCTCTACCTGCCCCTCTGCCGCCGTTTGCTCCTCTCCCTTCAGCCAGCCCGTCGCCTTGCACTTCTCGCTAGTACAAAGCGCTTCCCGTCCCCGCAATCATCGCAGCAACGCATGCAGGCGTCCATGTCACGTGTCAAAGTCATCCTTACACCCGTCGTCTGGTCGTCGCAACTGTAGTATACCGAAGCCGATGGATCTACACAACGCTTGCCCTATGGTAGCATATATCCCATATGCATGAATACAAGCTCCAGCAAGGCCTCGTCACCCCGCGCCCAAATAGATGCGACTTCTACGCTCAGACAATCCGTCCGACAAGCTCCTTGTCCCTCGCGTCGCTTCTTGGTTCCTCATCGTGTCACATGCTCCAGCGCCTCTCTCATCAGCTCCTCCCTGCAGAGATGGATCGCTCGACTCAGCCTCAGTCCCGCGAGGGTGGCGTTCAGCCCTATGGCTTTGGTCGTGCTGCTGGCTCCTACGACCCGCTCGTGCGCTTTTTCCTCTTCCTCGTCAACCTGCGGCAATCAAAGGTCGTCACCTATGCTGTAGTGCCCTGGTCTCTAGGCACCTGCTGGTGGCACCACTCTCTCACCTCCTCAATGTCTACCGAGAGCTTGTCGTCGTCACTGCTCTCGCTCTTCTCGCTCTCCTGAGCTTTGACTTGTCCCTCCACCTGGTCGGGCTCTACCTGCTTTCGCCTTGACTTGCGAGGCTTCGAGTCCTTGGACCCTCGAGGCCTCCCCGCCTTCCCGCATGGCTTCCGCCTCCTCGCGCAGTCCTCCGCAGATCATGGCCTCGATAGGCCCTGTCTCTGGGCCTCGCGCCCTAGTCTCTAGTCTCCTGTCTCGCTGTCTCCTTCGCATGCTCAGCAACCTGGCAGCATCCCGGGCTTTCCTGTCCACCTCTCGTGTGGCGTCCCCTGCCATGCTTGGT